ATATAAAAAACACTATTACCCCGAGATATTCTCAAATATTGAATAGACACTATCCTCGAGGTCAGCTTTCAACATAATTAGTCAGGTAATAAAGAATATCACCAATGAATACATTATGCTCCTTAATAACTCATTTATGTGAGAGAAAATGGTCAAAAATTACTGTTGTGACACGACTAGAAAGACGGTAAGGAGAACCTAGAATCCCAGCGCCGGGCCAGCCAGAATGAAAGCAACGAGAAGGTTAACACATGAAGAATGGAACCAATCTGGCTAAGCAGCATTTGTAGAAATTGTTAATGAGAGTCTAATTTTCTGTTCCCTTTTGCTAAAGACAAAATAACATATTATTTAAAAAATAAACTCATAGAGTTGCATTTCCAAGGTTATAAGTCAAACAGGCATTCACTGTGCATTCACATGGAGACATTTGAGTTATTGACCCTCTTGGTGCCTGGAAACGGGTGCACTAAAGTGCCCTATATTGCTAATGTTCATATTTCCTAAGGAAGGGCAGATATCAGGCATTCTTAATAAAACAGAAATTGTTTTACTACAGACTGATGGCAAGGAATTAAACAAGAGATACCCAACTCATTGTCATTAAGTGAATTCTAATTCATAGTGACCCTATAGGACAGAGTAGAATTGCCTCTTTGGGTTTGGAGGCTCTAGATCTCTACCAGAGCCGAAAGTTTCCTCTTTCTCCTGCAGTGGTTGGTGGGTTGGCACTGCTGACCACACTGTGGGTAGGAGCCCAATGGGCAACTAATTCTACCACTAGAATTCGTTAATAAGAGTCCTATATGCCATAAATTCATAGTTCTTTATTTATAATGCCATTGTTTTTCAAATTCAATGTGAATATTTGTACAACTAACAAACCACCCATAGAAGGGCTACTTACAATCATGGCAATACTTTATATTAATTAAGTAACTATTACAGGTAATATCTTTTTAATACCCCAAAAATAAGAGTTCATTTTCAATGATGTCGGAAATACATAACGCTACACATACAACTGTATTTATTGGTTTCACAGTTACATAATTAAGATAGAAAATAAAAGGCAAAATATGTCCTTTTCAAGTTCTTTAAAAGCAAGTTCATCAGTACCTGCAACAATATTTTCAAAACCAGTATCATTCAACAACTTAGAAATGTTGACTTAATTCTTTTAAGAAACAAGTAATTTTTAAGTCTTCTCTTTTTAAAGATATACATTTCCCATAGTGTATTAGCAATTTCATATAACACAATAAGATGATGTGATATGAAAATTTTTTGTAAAGTTGAAATAAAAGGAACAAAAATTTTACTGAGAAAACAGAACATAAGTAGATTGAAATATAATGTCAGTTATTTTAATAATGATCAATGACAATACATATTATAGGCATGTACATTAAATATAAAATAGTTTATAGAAAAATTTTTTTTAATTCTACCCTTTCATTATTGTCTTTGAAGCATTTCTAGTTAGCAAAATAAAATACTAAGATGAAAACTACTTAGTAAATGACTTAACCTTAGGAGAGCTAATCTATTTTAATGATGGCTATTTTAATCATTTTAGTTTTTATGAAACTGATTCAATTAATGCGAATGTCTGAATAAGTTAGTATACTTACAGACAGTAAGTGTATCACTCGCATATTTACTTTCCTGCTGACTGCTTGTAATGGTTATTTCAGTCAAATGGCCAATGAAAGTGAAGCCAGGATCATCTCCTCCTCCCTGCCGCACTTTCCCATTTCTGACGCTGACTTGGTAACCACGTCAACTCATCAATGCATATTCCTAAGCCCCAAGCCTGACCCAGTTCCTTCTCAGTTGCTTCAGTATTGTTAGTGCAAGGCAGTGTCTACGTAGGAGAGAGGAAATAACTGCATGCTAGTTCCATCATCAGAGAAGTCCCAAATTTCTCTGCTCTTTCCTAAGTCTACTTTGTCCCTCAACACGATATCTGTAACTCTCCTTCCACAGAAAAACAGGACACACAAAGATCCAGGTTTGGTTTTCTTCCAAAATGGTGATGGATCATACTTGGCTCCTTGGTCAACAAAACAGCTGGAAGCGAAAGTTCTGAATTCTATTAACTAGCATCTTATTAAGAATGTGTGAACATGTAACCTCTCCTTTGATTATCTTTATATTCCCACCCTACCCCACCTCTCCAACAGGATGGGTCAGAGTGAAATCCTCCACAAGATCAAAAAGAGGGAGTCCTCCAGTTTGGAACCAAAGTTCCAAGAAGGGGATTTAAGCTGATATTCTGTCCCCTAGGGAAGGGAGGGCTAGAAAAGCAGTTAATCTTGGTGAGAACAAATAGGGATAGATGTGAAGAGAAAAATAAGAACGACTATAATCATAAAAACAGAGCCTAATGAGGAGGCATTAGGACCTCTTGCACATAACGTAGGTACCAAAGTACCTCCCTTCCATATCAGCTCCCTTGTTATGAGTCTGGAAGAGGAAAGGAGGGAGTTCAGAAGAAATCGATTTTTTATCCATTTCCAGGGCACACCTAGGGCAACTTTTTCTAGAAGTATTCTTTACTGAGAAAAACTGGTAAAATATTGTAATATTGAAAATAAAAAAATTATGAGTTAACAAGTTTTCATTGTTAGCCTAGTATTAGAACCAAAATAGACTTACAAATAATTTACACAGTACTGTTTTTAAAATTTTTCTTCTATCACAATTATGTTCTACTTCATAGAATTATACCTGTTTAACTCGTTGCCATTGACTGAGTTCAGATTCATATTTTGTAGGATACAGACCTGCCTCCAAAGGTCTCTAAGGCTCTTTTCTTTACTGAAACAGATTCCTACATCTTTCTCTTATGGAGTAGCTGGTGGGTTTGAATAGGTGATGTACAGATGCGCAGCGTAGTGCTTTAATTACTGCACTACCACGACTCTTTATTATCATGCCATAAGTTACATGTTAAATATTTAAAAATATATATTAAAATATACATGAAAAATACCGGTAGCATAAATGATTCCAAATGCAGACATGTATAAATATATTTTGTCTAGGAAAAAAAAAGTATTAAATCACATACCCCCCATCCCCAAAAGGAAAATAACAACAAAACCCTTAAACCAAAAATATACACATGGCATTGGGAAAACAATTTAAAAACTATTATAACCCCCAAATAAATAATTGAATGCTATCTCTAAAAACTAACACTTATTTCAATGTCTGAAGTATAATTGTTTCACTCCCAAGAGACACGCTTGCTATGTAATATAATAGGCCAAATCTAGCCTTGGTACAGCCCACTTCTTACAGCAAAGTTGAGCTCTCCAGGAGTAGAGTGGACATGATCCAAATAATAATTAATAAGAATGAAAGAATGGCTCTGTCACAAACAGAAGTAGTGTATTAAAAGTGAATAACCAAAATGAAGATAATTATTTCTTTAAAACCTAAGGGAAAAGAGTTAAATGGAACATCTCTGGTCTGACCTACTGAGATATAGGTGTTTTTCCTTTTAAATTTAACTTTGTTTAACCGCCTCCATCTCTATCAGTGATTAGTATTAAATTACTGATTATTATTTGAAAAGGAAAAATGCAAAAACTAATTATCCAGAGATGTTCATATATTCCATATACTTACTGGTGAGGCTGATACTTGGGTTATGCTTAACTGGTTTTCCAAATCTTGCACTTTGTTTTTGAGTTCCATATTTTCCGTTTCTAGGTCTTGGATCTAAAATCAAACAAAAATTGAATAACCCTCAGAAATTAGTTCTTGCAAAATATTAGCCACCATATTGTGTACATTTTTTAAAAAAGGACTTAATATTACTTAAAATGACATACACTTTTTCATGCACAGGGGGATTAAAAAATAAAACTTGGGAAATATTGGAAAAGTCTAGGCCATTGAAAAGACATTATTTTAAAAACTGCTTTATGTGAGTGCAAATTTCAGGTCCCTTTGTCTCACTTTTGTGTGTTTTGGTAACACTGTGCAATCTATAATCTTGGAGTATAACCACAAGACAGTGAAACTTGCTCATGATGATTGAGTTGAACGGAGAAAGGGAGTAATTTAATTACAAAGGAATCTGATCTGCATGGGAAACCACTTACCCAGCATCTGCTGCTTCTGCTGCTCTGATCCCCATGAGAAGCATCAGGAAGTGAAGCAAAGTCACATGAGAACACTAAGTTCTTGTGGGAATTCAATATAAAATGGTTAAAAACTGTGCAGGGGATCCGGAATGAAAAATTATAGGAACACAGTGAAAGCAGTTCCAGTCAGTGTAGGGGAACTTTAATGGCAGGCCTTCTAAATTTGTTTGATGGTATGCAAATTTCCCTGTACTTACATCACATAAATATAATAATAACAACCTTAGTTTACTCACTCTTTTCTGTAACCCTGCAATCTGTTTTCTTGTTTCAACATCTTTTCCTCCAGATTCTAGAAATTTCCTGTATGCCAGGTCAAATGCTTGGCCAATTGTTAAGGTTATCTCTTCAGCCTTTGTAAAATTTAAACAAAGAAGATCTGCATTATAATAATAATAATAATAAATCAGACTATTTCTTTAAACTAAGAAAAATATTCACATGAGATTATAAAAACATTCACATGAAGTGCTTCAAGGTACTTTAAGGAGCAATGGCTGGGGAGAAAGACGCAGTAAATAAGTAAAGTAGCCTATGCTAACAATCATTCCCTGCCTTTTAGGGGTAGCCTACTCTGGCACAGCATGAAAAGAGAAAAAAACTCTATTAAATGAATAGCTGTTGAACTTAGAAGTAAGATTTCTGTCTAATTTTTCATCTCTTTATAGTATTTTCCCCCCTAGTTTGTTTTCATCCCTTCCTCGAGTACTGAGGGCTTATTACGTGAAAGCACACTGCCAAAGGCAGTTCTCTTACTGCTTTGCTACTGATTTCCACTTTCTTTCTATTGAAGAGGGTTACCAGGCAGGTGACTGAAGGCAGACTGTCTGGGTGGTGTCAGTGGAGCAACTGCGACTTATTCAGTTAGGGTTGGCGTCAGTAAATGGGCAATCCCAATACAGAGTTGTCAGTCTTAAAAATGTCAGATGAGGTCAGGCATTTGAATTTTTAAATGACATCTCCCAATTTTAAGTGATGGGAAACGGTTCGTGTTCTTGGAGAATACATTGTTGAATGAAAACCAACCAAACAAAACGTATTTCTGGTTTTGTTTTTGATTTACAATATCTGATCTACCAACTAGGACCTGCCACACATATCATAAACCTACCAGCTCATTCTCCATTTATATTTCAACTTTTACCACAAAGCCTTACATAGAGCAAACACTAAATAATTATTTACTTAACATCAAAAAAAGTTAGGTAAATGCATTGTTTAATGCATCTCACACTTGTCCCTATTTACTAATAATACCTATGACAGACAGAAACACCAATAGTAATATTATAAATATTAAATATATGTCCTGGTTAAATCTAGTATAAAACCTAGTATTTTGTATTAGGCCTACTAGGATCAATCTCATAGGCTTTGATAACTTGAATTTTCCTCATGGTATTATTTGTTACCTACTATTTGCTTAAGGAGAGCTTTGTCCTTTGTGATTGATTTATTTCATTCAGCATAATGCCCTCCAGGCTCCTCCATGTCATAAGGTATTTAGGTTCGTCCTCATTCTTTCATGCTGTGCAACACTCCATTAGGAGTATGCGACTAAGTTTATTTATCTATTCTCCCAGCTTTAAGCAATTAGACAATTTTCTTGTTATTGTGAATAGTGTTGCAATAAATGTGGGTGTGTATATATGTTCCTGCCCCAGTTTGTGTATTTTTTAGGGTAGATACCAAGTAGAGGGAATGCTGGGTCATATGGGCTTCTATTTCTAATGGAGGACATCCCCACTGTTTTCCCAGAGGTTCTACAATTTTACAGTCTCACGGGCAATGTGTGAGGGTTGCAATCTCTCTGCACCCTCTTCAGCATTGAACTTTCCTGGTAATTCTGGGGTGCAGTGGTCTCTCAATGATGTTGTAAGAGATGTTTTCATCTCTCAGATGGCTCATAATCATAAACATTTCTTCATGTGTTTATTGAGCTCCTGAATATCTTCTTTGGTGAAATGTCTATTAAAGTCCTCTGTCCATTGATTCTCCTCCTGTCCCACTATCATGCTCAGTCCCCACCAGGATTTCAGCACTTCCTC